TTTGTTGGGAGGATTCTTTTTGCACGTTCTCAATTATTAAAGAAAAATAATTGAAAATTCATTCAATTAAATAGTGAAAGAACATCTTATATCATAAGTGAAACAAATAAAGTAAGAAATTCCAGCATACAAATTTCATTTTGTATGTGCTACCAAATTATAGTTTTAAGAAATTTAAGAAACAAAAAAATTTTATAAAAAAAAAAAACAGAAAGAACAAAAACAAAAATTATCAATAAGTAAACCAAATTACGAGTTTAGTGTTAAATGTGAATCGAGGACATTGATCGCATATTGAGAGTCCACTTCCACCTATATTTTTTAGAGTTGCATCTCATATAGGATACCTTGTGGCTCAATTATTTATGTCAATACTAGAGTTGGTATTTGTAAAAATACATCATATGTCACATTCACTATTTTATATATTTTTTGACATTTTCGAAGATGTGATATATTGATTACATTACACGACACGTTGTTGTAGGAAAAAAAGAAGAAGAGTGTTTTACATTAAAAAAAAATTCAATTGTACATTTTAATTTCGCTAAACATTATTATTATTATTATTATTATTTTACATATATTTTGCTCTTAAATTCATTAATAAGACAATTCGAATAAGTTATTTAGCTTTTAGGAGAATTTAAAAGATGTACAATAATTTTATTTTCTCCAAACATTATTTTTTTGAAAAAATAAACACTTTGAAAAATTAAAGGAGAGTTAATTCAAATAAAAACTTTTTCAAAGTAAGTAAACGAATAATATTTAAAAGACGAAAAGATGTCATTTTTGAGACATCAAAATTGAACTACCAATTTTATGTACAAATTGTTTCTTTTGTGCCCCATCAAATTTTCTTTTTAGCCATACTTTGATTTTCAAGAATTCCTTTAACAAATATTATTATCTATCAAAATCAATTCAAACTCATATCTCATTTACATGATTTTCTTATTCCTTATTCCATTAAATAAAATTTGAAGAAAACTTATTACCTTATGGTAACTTGTTTTAATAATTCAAAGTTGATGATTGACAATTTGTTTTGTCATTTTTTCTAGATTTCAACATCAATGTAAAGACATGTATAGACCCCCAAAAAACAAAGCAACCCAAATAAAAAGTTATAAGGTCAAATTAATGCCACTTATGAGTAAAAGAGAGAGTATGTGTGTGTGTGTTGGGTTGGGAAGATCCACACAGCAACTACAAAAGTCATGATTTTGACAAATTTTCAAAATCTTCACTAAAGATTTCCTATTTTGTTTGTTTTCCTATTTTGGGTTCTAATCAATTTTCTTGGCCCCATCTTTCATTTGCCTCTTCATTCTTATATTACATAAATCCTAATCTTCCTTTTATACCTTCCTCCACATTGTTCACATATTAATTTATATACATATATATATATATATGTTATATTTAATGGAAAAGATAAGTTATATAATTTCATATCAAGAACCACTAAGGGTAGTAGCCCAACTACTAATTAAATCATCACTTTCATTTTTGTAATGAAAAAGTTTATTTAATTGTGTAGGTCCTCCATTATATAATTATTAATTTATAATATCTTTTTTTAAAAAATAAAAAATTATGATTATTTTAATTAAAAGAATCAAACTGTCATAAAATGTTTATTTCGTTAAAAAAATATAATAAATTCGTTGATATTTAATTATTAATTTATAATTTTAATTTATTGTCAAATTTTGATGTAATATTTAATTACAATATATAAAAAATTAAATATAGTAAATGAATTAATTTAAGTTAAATAATAATATCTAATATAATTATATTGTGTAATATGATTGATTATAGAGATGATAAGTCATAATTATGATTACAGTTGTTAATTGTGATAATTTCATTACATCATTACATGACGGAAGCAAATTAGATAATCTTAATTACAGAACATTTTACATTAAATTCTTAAAAAGAGATGCACATTGTTAAATTAATTAATAAATAAAACCTTCTATAATTAATAATATCACTATATATATGATTTTTTTTTTCCTTAAGATTTTTATATTTCGTGGTAAAGTAAAGACAATGACATCCCATTTCTTAAAAAAAAAATAAATTAATTAATTAAACTATTGTTTTCTTTTTAATTATTAATATAATGGAGATTAAAGCCACTATTGAATTGGGTTGAAAAGAAAAAGAATAAAAAAATAAAAAAATAATGTATTTAATTATAAATTATTAAAGGGTAAGAAAAAACAAGATATATATATATATATATATATGATAAAAGCATTTACCTTTTTATTTTCAAATAATGTTTATGTTGATATAAGCATTGTAATAAGATGTAAGAATTGCTTTTCTCTACAGTGCTATTATGTACTATATTTTATTGCTAATTAAAAAAACAGGTTACATGCATGCATTTAATTAACTTAATAATAATAATACATAGGTAAAAAATCAATTAAAATACCTAGCCATAATAGGTAGCTGAGCTTCACAAAATTTAAGATCACAATTATTTATTAACTCCATTTTTATTATATTAAAAATTATTTCACATATTTATTTAATTGTGTTTATTTACACATAAAATTAAACCAAAATATAAGTTAAATATATTTTCTTTCGTAAAAATAATTCAGTTTTATGATTTTTTTTTTTTAAAAATTAAATTTTACATAAACTCAGTTCCATGACTATATTTAGTTATTATTCTCGACACGTAATCTAATTATGCATTAGATATGCCTACCATGTTTTTAATATTAAAATTAAAAATTACTTGTTACCCACCTTTTAATTAAGTGCTTATAACTAATCTCCTCCCCAATTATATTGAGCTCGGTCAAGTTTTTGGTTGATTTGAGGAAACATTTGGACTTCGGGTTGAGTTTTTTATATGAAAATTTGAACTACATGTTTATAAGATCAAATATGTTAATTTGACAACTATATAATAACAAGAATTATTTCAACTTATTCAACAATAGTTTATACTTGTGTTACTTTTTCATTTCGTTTGCCTTAAGAGTTCGATTGGGCTCTGAGCTAGGGGCCTATCCAACTTTCCAATTGGAAATTAATTACACTCGTATCATTTGGTGTTTTTCCTTGCTGCTTATATTGAGCATTTATGATGAAGTTAGTATTATGGTTCTTAAATTAATAGATCTGAGTTTTGTTCATAAAATTTGAAGTTGATGGAAACAGATCCAATCAATTATTTACCAAAAGAAGAAAATCACTTACACACATTGGCAGAGAATGTTGTTTCACACATTCAACATATAACTTTTCCTAAATCAATATATGTTAGAACACCCAATAAATTAATTCTATAAAATCTCGAATAATTGCTACTTAATTCTATTTCTCTGGCCAGGCCAAGCCAAGCATGTTATAAGGGAGATTCTTCATAGTCCCGATCCTGGTGCTGAAACTAGATCCTTAACTGATAGTGTATTTGTTCGTTCCGGCATAATACTTACATGTGAAGACATGATTCGGCAATTAAACCAAAATTACCAACTTACCATGTTGTCTATGATCTCACCACAGTCAGAATCGACACAGAAAGTCAAAACTTTTCTACCTGAGGCTCTATGTATTTCTTCTTCCAAAAATCAGTTCACAGAGTACATTATTTCCTTCTCAAGATCCTCAGCTAATCAAACCAAAATTATAAGCAGTGAAGTTGAAAATTTCACGCCGTTGTGTTCTTCGTACCTTTCTCACTCTCTTTGTGCTCCTTGTATCCCATACATGAATATAACAATAAAACTAAAAAAAAAAAAAAAATGTTTAAAGTTATTTGAATGCCTAACCTGACATCACCTCTTCTTATTTTTCTTTCTCCCCTTTACTTGATTCTCTAGGCTTCTTAGCCTCTGGCTGATAACAGATGATGAAGAAGATCTTCTTTGATCCATTACCTTTGGTTGCTCAGCAGGAACCGAGTTAGAAACCTGATGCATGGCTTTGGCTTGTTTGAGTATCGAAGACAACGAGAAGCTTGGTTGGGGAGCACTAGATGGTGGTGCCACAGGTATTTCAGGGACACCCAAGAACTTCTTGACCCCTGGAGCCTTGAGCACTGAAGAAACGAAATCAAGTCTTATTGACCATACCCACAAATCAATTATTTACTAAATACTGACAGTTTGAAGTTGAGTCACCAAAAAGATAAAAACGACAACACCATCACATAGTAGCAAAAAATGTAATGTGTATTACATTGAGAAGCTTCTAACCAAGTACGAAAGAAAGTAGAATCAGATATCACTTTGATAAGTGAAACAACAAAATCAGACAACTCACCTAGTCCATACATGAGGGAGAACACGTTGGATGTAACCCAATAACAAAATACGGCCTGCAGATATAAGTGAAAACTTTCAATCACATGTGGTATATATACTTAAGCAGTCACCAAGCGCTCCAAGCATTTAAAACAATGATAAGAAAAGAGAAACTCGAGGTAAAGAAACAAATAAATTTTATGAGCAAGAACAACGAGTTCCCTTGTAATTTATAAAATCAGTGCAAGTGAGAAACTAAAGTTGCGGCTGTCAATCTTGGCACTTCAAGCACTAAGAAGAGTTCGATTTTCCAAAGCAAGCAATTTTCCAACAGTAGAGATGATCAGTATTTATTTTTTATCTAGACACCAAAATAGGGAACTAAACATCCAAGCAAGAAAGAGTACTGCTTCAAAAGTACTTAAAACTGCTCTTTGTCAATGTTTTGACCTCTTTTTCACAAATAATAAGTGAGACAAGGCTTTGAAATAAGACAAATCAAAACAAGCCAAATTTGAGAATCATAATGCTAGACACAGAAAGCCAATTGGAAAAAGCGTCTAAAATACTGTGTGCATGTGCATTTTCATTTTCCTTGAATTTTCATTATGGATGTTGCGCAAATATTATTCCTTCAGCAGATAGTGAATAGCATATCACCTTTGGGAAAGTCATTGTCAGTGGAACTGAAAGAACAGCAAAGCCCCGAGAAATGTTTTTAATGGTACCAGCAGCTGGATTTCCTTCCATACCTTCTTGCATATTGCACTGAGAAAGATATGAAATCAGTAAGTTCAAGTCCACATAAAACTTATTGCACAATTCAACTGAGAGTATTCATTTTCTAATGAAAGAAAAGGACAATAAGATTAACCAAGGAGGAATTTATAACATAAAGAATAATAACAGGGGAGATCTGAACAGGCACCACTTTAGTTCTATTCTCTACTTTAATTACAGAAAAGATACCCACCTCAACTGTTACCAAGAAAGTCAACCCTGTCAAAATTGGAAATATGTACAAGCTATCTGGAGTAGTGAGATCTGTAAACCAAAAAGCACCCCCATGTTTAAATGACGGCACCTTTTCTGTCATGTTTGAAATCTGCAAACAAAATATCAGCGGCATGGCTAAAATTACAAAAGGGATTTTAGATGGAAAAAACTTAATTATCAGAAGATGTTACTCGAGCAAAAATTTACTTACAGCAAGAAAAAAGCTAACAAAGACAGGGCCCTGAATAAAGAGCCCTTTCAAAGGAGTAAACGGACTCACGCCATATCTGCAATACCGACACCAGCATGATGAAATGATCAACCTAGCTAAACATATTAGTTACTAGAAAAACAAAGGAAAGATATGGAAGACCCTTTTTTTTCCAAATTTAGACTCAAGGAAACTACCAAATCAAATGCATTCATCACAATAACTTTCCCAGATGCATATCATGATATAAGGTGATTAATGAATCAGCAAATTATAACTCAAAACATTTCATCTTAGCATCATTCTGGAAATAAAAGGTGGACATATATGAGAACACAACCATGTGCAACTGTCTGGAGATAAGACAAACAAAACACTGCTGTATCAACTTCCTACCTCTTTGAGTTCCCAAAGATTTTGAGCTATCTTATTCTTTTTTATAAGAAACTTTAAGAGAGGTAGGCAAATACACTAATGAATATTTTAGATGTTGGAAATCATTGTATAAGTTGATTATTGAATCAGTAAATTATTACCCATACAGTTCATCTTAGCATCATTATGAAAATAAAAGGTGGATATGCACGAGTACATAATCATGTGTGACAATCTTGGAGATCAGACAAACAAAACAACACTGCATCAACTTCCTACTTTGAGTTTCTAAAGATTTTGAGCTATCTTGTTCTTTTTCACAAGAAACTTTTAGAGATAGATGTAATACACATGCACCAGTGAATATTTTAGATGTTGGATTGATTTCCATGCACCGCATACATCTCCACTATTTGATATTTATGTTGCAAAGAAACTGTACACAGTCAGAAGTAGTTACTGAAACTAAGGAGATAGCTTCCACTTCTAGCCTTCCCAAAATGAATCTTTTGTCAAACTACAATTTCAACATGTGATTTAACTTAAAGCAATTTGAACTTTGATTTTGTTGGTAAAAATTTAATGTGGTTTATTTTCTTTATTTTACATAAAACTCTTTAGTTTTATCCGCACATATTTATGCTTCTAAATATGATTACGTGAAAATTCAAAGGTAAATGAATTAAAATTAGGGGAAAAAAAAGAACTATAAGATAATAGCTTGAAATAGTGATTTATGCAAATGACAAGAAATCAAACCACAAACTGAATTGTCAAAAAACAAAAAACTCATGATTAAATTGCAATAAAACATAACCATATAGAACTATACTCTGTCCTATGTTTTATTACAATCAATATTTTTATCTTCAAGAAAAATGTTTTATTACATTCAATACCTAATAGAAGCATCTGAACTCCTTGTCAAATAGTCTTAGTACTAAACCAACAAACATTTGATACTCATGGTTAAATTGCAATAAAACATAACCATATAGAACTATACTCTGTCCTACGTTTTATTACAATTAATATTTTTGTCTTCAAGAAAAGTGTTTTTTCACATTCAATACCTTATAGAAGCATCTGAACTCCTCGTAAAATAATCTTAGTACTAAACCAACTTACATTTGATGGATTAGTTATGTCGCTCCTCCTCTCCATAAAGAGGGTGGAGGTTCAAAGGTTACTACCCCCGTTTGGGGCTATAAAAAAATAATTATTATCTTAGTACAACTCACATTCAATGATGACAATACCAACAAACCCCTCAAAGAGAAATGTAAAAGTTGCTTACTCCTTAAAAAGCTTCTGCATTTCTTTCTGACCATCAGCCACAGCTGTAGGATCCATACCCTGATCAAAATCCGCAAAGAAACGAAAAACATGTTAGTATGTTGTAGGCCCTCCAATCTTTTCCCACAAATTGGTAAGAATAGAATGTTTAAAAAATTCTAGCACTTTTCCTCAACAAATTGCCTCCTCCACACCCCCCCACCCAAAGTGTGGAATACTCCTCCCAAAATCACACAGGTAAAAATAAATGTCAGTATGTTGTAGGCATTCCAATCTTTTCCCACAAAATTGGTAAGAATAGAATGTTCAAAAACAAAATTCTAGCACTTCTCCTCAACAAATTGCCTCCTCCACACCCCCCACCCCCGGCCAAAAGACCCTAAAGCGTGTACTCCTCCCAAAATCACATGTAAAAATGAAAATCTCCAATTCAGTAGGCAAACTGAATGCAAATCAAAGGGGGAAAAATGACAGGGCAACCCTCCTCAAAGCCACCTCAAAATGCAAAAATATACAACTACATAAGGGGAAAGAGAATTTTGGGGCCTGCAAATTTGAATCAAGTAATTAATATTAATTTTATAAAGCAATGCTGTCCAAATAGATCCTTTCCCCAAAGAGAAGTTATTTTACTATTGGCTATGGATGAGTGAATTGAATAAAGAGATTGACAAGTATAGGCTTCTGAAGATTCAAAGGACCAAATTCTAATATCAAGAACAGAGTTCTTTCTAAAAAAGATAATTCCCATTATTCTTATAGACACCTGGCAACAAGAAATCTCCTACGATTTTCTCAATTCTCTCAGCAACTGCAACCAAAATTCTAAACCATGAAAGATGACACAATGGGATGCTAGACGAACATGCTGCAATAGAGTTACTCTATAACCAAGAGACAAAAATGCTCTAATTCCAACTATCTCATTGTTTCCAGATTTTTACCATGACAAATCCCAGAAAGAGGATCCCCCACACTAACCCATTGTTGAACTTAACCCAAGGTTTGGACTCACCATTATTAGTAGCTAAGAAGGAGGTTCTAGAAATTCAGAATCATTTTACTTTCAACCCCTTCCAATCCATTGATGCAGAATGAGCTAGTACTAGGTTTTTTAAATAAAGTAGAAATTGTAATTATATTAAATGTAAAACAACTATACTATTTAGGAGTCTATTATTATAGTATTTAGAAGTGTTATTATAGCGTTTAACTTAGATGTTATTCTTATTAGTATATTTCCTATTTGGATTAGTATTCCCAATTCAATCTTAGTTTAACTCTATGTAGGAAGACTACTTATAAATCATTGTAAATAGTTTTGTAATTTTACTTATTAGAGCATAAGTTATATAATAATGTTTGAGAGTTCTCAATTTTCTAATTGTGTGATGCAATCAACTTGTACGTATAATGTTTAAGACTTCCTAGATGTGATGTCTAAGAAACTTAGATGTAATGTGTTATCCCTAAATCCTTAATTGGACATATCAAACCTATTTGTCCTACATCGTGCATAGTCTTATTAACAAAATCCCATCTACTTTGCCATATGTTTTTTGTAGTCTAACTTAAAAATCTTAACACATTCGTTTTCTTCCTTTTTAGATTGTCAACCATTTCATTAGCAAACACACAAGATTTGCACTATGACTAGCGAAAATGGTACCACCCAACACTTCTTTCATCTTGGCAGATAAAACCATAGTGATTATTTTGTAAATACTTCTCACTAAACTAATATAGTGGTAGTTCATCTAACCCTTCTTAGATACCAAAATAATAACTGTTGACTTCATGCTTATGTCAATTTACCATTCAAAAAAGAACTCTTGGAAAACTTTTATGAAGGCCTCTTTTAACAAAGTCGCAACAATTTCAGAAGGTGGCGATTGAAAATCCATATGAAAAAGGGACTTTGTCATAATTAAGGTTCCACGTAAGATCTCCAAGCTTAGCATCCTTAACAGGTCTTTCAAGTCAGCTAATAGGGCTCTAATCCAACCCTTAAAGGAAATGATGACAATCCATCTCCGTTTCATAGATTCTTCTATAAAAACTAGTTATTTCAACCTCAATGGAAAAAGGCTCTTCATCCACCCTGCCATCCTTGAGCTCTAATATCTTAATAAAACTTTTGAATCTCTTCCCCGCAAACACATTATAAAATGTAAACTTAGCATACCCATCTCTAATCCATTTAATCATAGACCTCCATCTCCAATTCATATTCGAAGTGGAAGGCACGAAAATCAACTTGGACTTTAATTAAACCATTCTCCATCCAGGCTATCCAAGAAACTTAATTGATTAAGAAGATCATGCTTGTTAACTCAATATTCCCAAATACCTCATTATTCAAGACTTCAACATTGCTTTAATAAATTTTAGTTTCCTTACTGATAGTGTATATAAATATCATTTTTGTTACTTAGTTTAAGTTTACAATTAGGTTACTTGCTACCAAACTTAAGGGATTTTGTTAGTTTTTAATGCAGGTGTAAATATAGGATTCAACTCCAAAAAAATAGCATTGCTGAGTTGATTTTTGCACAAAAATATTTGTCAATCAGCAATTAAGACTTGGGCAAGGCTTGCTCCCTAGCGGCATTAGCAGATACTAACTGTTTTTACCTGGACTCTTTCAAATTCTAATCCTACTCTTATCCGCAGACGTGATATTGAGTCAAAGTGGCATTTTCGAAAGCTGAAAGATAAGAACTAAGATGACTCTATCTTCTTAAGAATTAATTATTATTTTTTTGTTCTTTACATAGGGAAGGAGTAGAGTTGAGAAGGTAGCCAGATTTTTCCTTTCTCAGATTCTGTTTTTCTGTAAAATTCCTATGCTAGCTTGCTCTGAAAAGTTGTTGGTGTTTAACATTCAAAATGAGCAGCTAAATACTCTAATTTCCAGTTGAAAATCTAATTGAAGTTTCGATTCAAGGACTGTGAGATCGAATTGATTTATTTTCTTCTCTTTCTTATTTTCAGTATTTATATATTTTCTCTATATACAAAAATTATTATTTGTTATTTGTTACAACAAGATCTGTTGTGCAATTAGCATAATAATATATCGCTAGTCAGGATTCTTAAATTCATAATTGTTCAGAATATTTTGATAACCAGTGGTAATTAGTATTTATACTAAACAAATATATAATCTGATATGAATGAACCACGTGGTCTAGTTTGTTGGTTAGAATTGAGTCTTTCTAGTCCTTAATGTTGTTAGTGAATTAAACTCTAAAAGCGTTTTCAAGAATTTTCATTAATAAGGGTTAATTAACGAGTGTCTCTTAATTAATTTAAAACTAAGGAAAGCTTGATTATTAGAAACGTTTCCAATAACTAAAACCGATTTATTGAAAATTGGTAAAAGTCATCTTTGCATCAATGATCGATCCTATGAATTGAAATTGAAGATCAAATTAGACTTCAGTTAAACCATTCTCCATCTCCAGGCTATCCAAGAAACTTAAATGATTAAGAAGATCGTGCTTGTTAACTCAATATCTCCAAATACCTCCTTATTCAAGACTTCAACATTACTTTAATAAATTTTAGTTTCCCTACCAACTTAAAACCTTTCCAACACTCCATTGAAAGGTTATCCCACAGTTCTCCTATCTTTTTGAGAAACTTCGAGTATTGGATCCACATATAGGGACTAGGATCCCAGTCGTCATGATTTTAGAAGGATGAGGAAATAGTCAAAATAGGTTACGGAAAACTTTCTAGAGAAATTAGGAAGCAAATAACCCACTCATTTGAAATAAAAAACTGACCAATGCGGGACCTGCCCTTGAAGAGTGACAAAATAAACCGAGTATTATTAACCATAATTTGCTTTGCTCTTTCAAATTGTCTTTAACAAGAGATGAAGAGCAACAAGGGAAAAATAAGTATCGTTATTAAGAGGAGAAAATGAAATGCCCTGGAGGAGGATAATGAACTCCCCTAAACCAAAGGAAAGAAAAAAAAGAAAAACAAGAACTTGACACTAGACCACTACTCATATCTATTGGAAAAATTTCGAAAGAGATATTCCAGTAATCTCCATATGCCAAGACTATAAGATAAAAGATTTTGATAAGGCTTTGTCAAGAACACACCATTCTTCAAAAAAGGCCCCACCAAATTATCCCTATAGTTTAGAATCGTCTTGCTAGGAGCTAAGTTAATTGCTAACCCAACCAAGTCATCCACTTCTTGATCCTCCAAGTGTCCAGAAAGATAAGTTTTCCTACTTGATTGTTCGAAACTGTTCAAATCTAAATAACCAAACAAGATTATTTTATTTCTAATAAAGTTGAAAATACAAGAGACTTAGTAGCTCAAGGGCTTTTACCACATCAGCAGTCCTCCTAAAAACTAACAAAGGAAGCATTATTGACCTTAAAGCTAACTAGATCAACCGCAGGACTTCAATCCTAACTGAACCCCACTGCCATAAACTACAGCCATAAGCCCCTCTTACCCAGTATCCAAACCCTCCTAAGAAGGCCAAATTTAACACTGATGACATCCCTCTAAAGACCTCTCCTTGCAACAAATGAATTTCAACAATGATTTAGCTAGCTAGCACTTACCTAGCTCCAACTACGGGATGCTACTTGCCAGTCGCCCATTCTACAAGTGGTATCTCCTTGGATAATCATAAAAACTAACAGCAAATAACTTCAAAATGCTTTGCAATCTTGCTAAGGACGGCAAAGGAAATACAAAATGTATTAGGTTGATACAATAATGCACTTTTGACTAGGGTTAGTATTTTTTTTTACTAATTAGTTTACCTCCATTTCAAAGAAAGCTATTTTTTCAACAAGTTGACCTCCTTCCCATCTTGTAACTAGTAAGGTC